GTGTGTGTGTGTGTGTGTGTGTGTGTGTGTGTGTGTGTGTGTGTGTGTGTGTGTGTGCGTGTGTGTGTGTGTTGTTTCGCCACACAGAGTAAACGGACGATACGCGTAGTAACCACTATAAATACATTATTATTAATATTATACCTATTATATTATATTATATCATTATTATACCAATTCAAATTGCATTATAACATTTTTTATTATTATATATGATTAATACTAAAATTGATGCGATTATTTGTGGGTCGATATGCGACGTCCATAACATGAGAGACTTTGAAAGCGCACGCTGCGTTATTCAGTATTAATAAATATAGCGAGGTTCTCTGAATTTGTTAGAATTTGTTGGAATTAATAAAATTTTATGCAGTTAGGGTTTCAGTTGCAAGGTGTCGCTGCATGCAACATCGCCAGCATGCGTAACTCCAGGCGCTAACAGATGGCGGATGCCACGAGATCGAAAGCTGGTCGTTGTACTCATGCTGCAGTGTCACACAAAGTGATTACGTCACCGCATAAAAAGTAAAAGTATAAAACTTACGTCCAAATTTTCACAAAATGCAAGTCTGCTCACTTTTTATGGTTAAATTGCTGCATTATACTTTCTAATTTGCTATACTGTTTGATGCGAACAAACACTCGTGACCGATAGCAAGCATTTAATGTCGTGATCAATATATCAAATCGCCCCGGTATTTCAGGATTTTTACCTAGTTGAGAAACAATGTTATCAGGTAAGAATTTGAGGATACATTTAGTCCCGTTCGTACTTACTTTTCATGTAAAAAAAAATGGAACAAAGACTTTACAAATATACATCATAGAAAATTCGTGACATAGTCAATCGTAAATTGATCCTATAGGAGCGTTTAAGTCAACCCCAGCGTCTGTCTCAAGCTCAATACTGGTTATGTAAATACTACACACGTTGTTTTTTACGGCAGATACAGTACGCCAGCCATGATTACGCCAAAAGTAGCATGATTAATTACTACCGTAGAGAAAGCTTGGAACCTCTCTGCCGATACACCTAATACTGCATCGGCGCTTTCCATCGCCCGGTGTAAAACCACACATATGTAAATGCCGCAATGCTCAAATAGAAAACAGCCCATTTAATTCCTACTTTACCAAAGGAGTTACCAGACGGGGTGAGGGCGGTCGTTGTCAACACGGAGGCCTGCGGACCAAGGATCAGGGTGCGAGTCCCGTCCTGGTCATTGCTGTCGTGCCATTGATCAAGGAACTTTATCTTAATTTAGTTCAGTCGACCCCCTCAGTTGATTAAATGGGTTTCACTAGCCGGCCTAAGACTAACATCTTCACCCGTACAGCGGCGAGTATCTTTGCTGGCACACTCTTGTAATTAAATCAATGAAACGCAGTTACTGAAGCCATATTCCCTACTAACATAGCCAGAAAGAAAATGAATGCAGAGATGGCACCTACTTATGTCTCCGTAGTCGTTGTCGTCGCCATAGCCACCCAACGTCAGATGCGCCGATGACGAAATCAGCTGAAAATCGACGCGCGTGTGTAGTTAAATGAGCAGACGTTATAGCAAATGCATACCAACTCTTAGACACATGCGCGTGCACACACACACACACACACACACACACACACACACACACACACACACACACACACACACA